AGAAAGCTGAGTACAAATAACATCATTTGAATGCCTGGATAGCACCATGTTTTCCATTGTACTCTTTCTTAGGTGAGCTTCCCTTGTTTAAGCTATTTGTATTTGAGTTTCTATCATCTAAAAGAGTCCTGATATTTAGCAGCATTCTATAAATGTTTGTTGACTAAGTATTTTGAATTATAAATAGAGTAAAATGGAAATATAGGTTAGGATGGAAACATGGTGAGCTAGTTTAAGCTACTTGGACTGGGTTTCAGGATCTTAAAGTGTCCTGATATTCAGCAGGCATTCTATAAATGTTTGCTGAATAAGTATATTGAATTATAAATAGTGTGAAATGGAAATATTGATGAGGATGCAATGTATTCCACTGAGCATTTTGAGGAGAAATGGTAATTTACATTTATCTGAGCCTGTAAGTATAAATAGCAACTCAGCAGGAAAGTGAGTAGTGAGGACATTCTAGGCCTAAGAACAAAGGTTTGGCAATGAGAAAGTACATGGTATTTGAGAAAAATGAGATTTTCTGCAAAGGAGTGAAAAAATGCTTATTTTGTTGAAGAAGCAAGTCTATGAGATTGTATGGGAGGGAAGGCAGGTCATCACTGCCATGTTTACCAAGATTGTGGGCTAATGCTGACAGGCGGGCCCTAAAAGAGGGTACAAGATGTACAAACAACAGCCTGATATGTTTGGGATGCAATGCCAAAGAGATTGCAGCCAGTGTAATCAAGCTGTGGCTGCTAGTCATGGTCACATGCAATCAAGGTAAAGATCTGCTGAGACCCATTGATTCTGAGGTATGTTATTTACCCACATGGGAGCTCAGCGTACACATGCCAGTCTTCTGGGTATCATTTTATCCTGATCTGTTTCACCTGGGTGATGCAAGAGCTAGCCTGTACAGGGTAAAATACATTTACTTTGATCATGTTAAATCATCATCAAAGTTGCTGGTTTTTTGCAGAAAGCAATGTTTATAGGTATAGAGTATTTTTTATATTGATTGCTCATAATAATGCCTGCTCCCAGAATGTACAATAAAAATCTCCATTTATATAGCCAGATCCTTTCACATGAATTATTCCATTTAAACTTCACAATCATCCAAAAAGTTCAAAGAAGTGTAAACTTTGCCAAAGTCACCAGACTTTGAACCACGTCTTCTCTCTTCAAGTTCATGCCTCTTTCTAATACCTGAGACTAGCCTCATGGTGATTCCCATGGGTATTCAAAAAATATTTGCTAAGATGAGCTGAAATAGCACTATTAGTCTTGGTTCTTGGTTATCTTTTCTTAGGATAATAGCCTCCTTCATCTGACACCTGCCCCAGCACCCAGGAAGTCAGACTTACCCAGATAGCAGGCTCTCTGCCTCAGCTGCTTTTCTTGCTGGAAGAGTCTGACCTTGATCCTGCTTGCCTTTTGAATATCTCATAGGCATTTCAAACTCAACTCAACATGTCTAAAATGGAATTCTGGATGATTTTTTTTAATTGAAGTACAGTCAGATACAATGTGTCAATCTCTGGTGTACAGCACAATGTCCCAGTCATGCATATACATACATATATTCGTTTACATATTGGATGATTTTTTTAAACCTATATATTCTTTATTTCTCTTCTACTCTTCCCCATTTCAGCATCCATTGCCACCATCCAGTGAGTTATTAAAGCCAGAAACTTGAGTTTTAGCTTGTTAATTTCATTTCTAAAATACATCTAGAATATTTTCGTTTCTCTCCATGGGCCTCCATTAGTACCATGCTGGTGTAAGACATCCTCCTTTCATTTTGACAGCTGCCATAGCCTCCTAGCCAGACTCTCTGATTCTGACCTTGTTTACTCTAGACACCCAATCCATTCTACATACATCGCAGGAGTAAGCTTTTAAAAATATAAATCAGATCACAACATTCTCTGGTTTAAAACCCTTTAATGGCTTATAATCGTAGTTTGGATAAATCAAGTCTTGAGTAACCTACAATGCCCTGTAAATATTGCCTGCTTCCATCTCCAGTATTACTGTGCTCTTTGCTTAGTAAACTCGAGTCACATTGTCTTTCTGTCAGTTCCCAGGATACATCTAGCTCTTTCCTGCCTGTTATATTTCCTCTGCTTAGAATGCTCTTGGTGGGGCTGATTCTCCCTTATTCTTCATGACTTGACAAAACTTTAAGTTTTCAAAAAGGCTTTCTGTAAAACTCACATCAACAGTAGTTACCTCTGATATTCTCTCATGGCCCACTTGACTTCTCTTTCCAGGAGCCTGCAACTATTTGCTGTAATTATTTTGTTATTTGTGAAATTTTTTTGTTCTACGTCTCCGGTGCAAGAAAGTAAACTTCATCAAGGCAGTGACATTGTTTAGTCTTGATTATATCACTAATTCTTGGCACACAGTAGGCCCTGAATAAATATTCTTTAAATGAATGAATGATCGAATGATCTCCCAACCTAAATGAGAAGGCCGTAAGATTCAGTGTTTATCCTGGTCCTCATGCCACTCAGGCAGCCACTCACCTAGCCCAGGTCAGAGACAAAGTGTATAAGACGTTTGAGAACTACAAAAGGAATCAACCTATCAGCCTTTCTAGGGTGAAAATATTATGGGACTTGGAGTCAAGAGAACTGTATTCCAATTTCAAAGAATTACCTAACCTCTCTGAGCCTCGGTTCCCTCGTGTGTGAGAACAGGGATAATGTGTCACATCTTGTAGCCTTAGTATCAGCCCACAATGCCTGATATGTAACACATGATAAAAATATGATTGTTTAATTAATAAAATCAGAATACTACCTTGTAGGATTTTTGTGAGGGTTACATGAGATGCATATGTAAGTTTCATATGTATTATAAATGATCCTTAAAGGCTTATCTCATAGAACACTAAATTGAAAGTAACTTAAAGCTGTTTTCTTATTCAAAGCAACTCTGAAGAAGGCCTAAGTTGGAGGACTCACACTTCATGATTTCAAAACACCCTGAAAAGCTACAGTAATCAAGGCAGTGCAGTACCAGCATAAGACTAGACATAAGGATCAATGGAATAGAATTGAGAGTCCAGAAATAAACTATCACATTTATTTATCATCAGTTGATTTTTTAAAAATATTTTTATTGAGGTAAAATGTCACAACATAAAATTTGCCATCTTAACCTTTTTAAAATGTACAGTTCAGTGGTATTAAATACATTCATAATGTTGTTCAATAATTACCACCATTCATCTTCGTAACTTTTCATCTCGCAAAACTGAACCCTATACCTATTAAACAATGACCTCCATTTTCCATCCCTAGCCCCTGGCAACCACAATTCTACTTTCTCTTTCTATGATTTTGACTACTGTAAATATCTACTTCATATACGTACAAATACACAGTATTTGTCTTTTTGTGACTGATTCATTTTGATCAGTATAATGTCCTCAATGTTTATCCATTTTGTAGCATATGTCAGAATTTTCTTCCTTTTTAAGGCTGAATAATATTTCATTATATGTTTATACCACACTTGGGTTGCTTCCATGTTTTAGCTATTGTGAATGATACTGCTACAAACATGGGTGTACAGATAACCTGAGTCCCTGCTTCCAATTCTTTGGGTCATATAGTCAGAAGCAGAATGCTGGCTCATATGGTAATTGTATTTTTAATTTTTTGAGGAACTGCCATATCTTTTCCCAAAGCAGCTGTACCATTTTACTTTCCCACCAACAATGAATAAGGGTTTCAGTTTTTCCATATCCCCACTGACATTTGTTATTTTCTGCCTTTTTTTTTTATAGTAGCCATCCGAATGGATGTGAGGTGGTATCTCATTATGGTTGTGATTTGCATTTCCTTAATGATTAGTGATGTTGAGCATCTTTTAATGTGCTTATTGGCCATTTGTATATCATCTTTGCAGAAATGCCTATTCAAGTCCTTTGCCCAATTTTTAACCAGGTTGTTTGCTTTTTTGTTGTTGAGTTTTGGGAGTTCTCTATATATTTTGGATATTAATCCCTTATCATATATATCATTTAAAAATATTTTCCTTTATCCTATGAGTCGCCTTTTTATTTTATTGATAGTGTCTTTTTTTTTACCATTTTTTATTGATTTATAATCATTTTACAATGTTGTGTCAAATTCCAGTGTTCAGCACAATTTTTCAGTTATACATTAACATATATATATTCATTGTTACATTTCTTTCTCTGTGAGCTACCATAAGATCTTGTATATATTTCCCTGTGCTATACAGTACAATCTTGTTT